GCCCAAGACAGCTCGAAACAGCCTCAGGACCCGAGACAGCACAGGGCACCCCCGACCACCACCTCCATAGTGGACGATGATCCTCGTCGCGCAAAATGCCGCGGAGGTGGTGGTGGGGGGGCCAGGTCCTCGTGCGTTAGTGGCCCCCCCCCCCCCCCTACAGGAGAGAGAAGAGGCCCAAGTGTCCTGAACCCGAGGCGGAGGGGGGTACGGGGGGGGGCCACGCGTTGTACAGATGCCTGGCCAGGGAGGAAAGGGAGAAACAGGGGCCGCCGCCCGAGCGCCCGAGCGCCCGAAGTCAGTTGAGGTCCTGCGCCTCTCCCCCCCCCTGGCGGCCGCCGTCACCCCTCGCCCTTTGCTGAGGGGTAGGCACGCTCACCGCCTGGGGGGGCGTCCATGGTGGTGCGGTGGACCGAGGACTAGCTACTGGGCTCGACCAGCAGGGTGTCCTCGTTGTCATTGTAGTGCCAAGGCTTGGCGAGCTCGAACCTGCTGCCGTACCTATGTACAGCTTGGTGTACATGACTCTGTCGGTCTGTGTGCCTTCCGTGTCCCGACTCGCTGTGGATGGCGGCCTCGTTGTTGTGGAGGTATGAGAAGTCCTTGCTGATGATGTGACGGTATTCAGCGGCGCCCTGCATGCCGTCGGGAATGTGTGAGCATGCACGTGTGGTGCTTGCCGCCGCGCACTCGTACATCAGCAGGGTGTTCGTCCTGATGGTGTAGTTGTGGTCCCGAGCTCGCTGGCATGCGGCGGATCGCAGATGTCGGAATCCCCAAGGTTGGTGTTTGTCACGTATGCGGCTTTGGTCGTAGTCGTCGTAGAAGTCGACGATGCATGTGCGCCCGCACCCTCTCTATTCTCTCTTTGGGGTCGGTGCTGTGGTTGACCTTGAGGACCGCTATACTTTTGCCGACCTCGTCCACCGCCTTCTGGATGATGTCAGTGGCCTCGTTGATTCGGTCAGTGGTATTGGATACCACGATGGTACTGCTTGGGCTGGGATCTTGTATGATGGTGTCGACGTGTTGGTTATTTGTGTGGGTGTCGTCTTCAGCTGGTTGTATGTTGTTGATCTCCTCCGTGTCGGTGGGTATCGTAGCTGGTGCGATGGTGTTGGCCCCTAGCTCTTCGTCGTCCTCCTCCTCCTCCTCCTCCTCCTCCTCCTCCTCCTGGGAGGGCGTCCCCGATCGCTGGAACAGTTGCAGCCAACTCGCACAAGCAACGACGCGCGCCATCATCTACGGTGCCCTTGTGTCCTTGTCTCTGCGGCTCGTCCTCAGCCTTACGTTGGGCCTGTCCCTCTACAGGTGGAACAGTCAAAAATAGTTTTAAAATAGGACGATTTTTCGACCATGTTTGGTAATTGAATCGCTTCGCTCATTCCGCCGGCCCATTTCGCATGACTGAGCCTCTTGGGGCCGCTGGGGGGCCTCTTCAGCGTCGCTCGGGGGCCTCCTGAGGGCCTCTTGGGGGCTTTTGGGGCCTCTCAGGGGCCTCTTGAGGCCTCCTGGGGGCTTCTTAAGGCCGAGAGCTCGAAGTTTTGTTTTGTGTTCCCCCTTTGGGGCATCGCTTGGGGCCCTCTTGGGCCCCTCTTGGGCCGTCTTGGATGCCTCTGGGGCGGCCTTGGAGCCCTCTTGGGCCATCTTGGGGCCTTCTTGGGAGCTTCTTGGGCCCTCTTGGGGCGATCTTGGGGGCCTCTTGGGCCGTCTTGGGGCGTCGGGAAGCCGAACAGATGGACACGCCCAAATCTGTCCAAAACCTAAGGAAAGTAATGAATTTTGCCTCTTGGGGCCCTCTGGGGGGTGCTCTTGGAGGCCTCTTGGGGCGTCTGGGGGCCATCTTGGGCGTCTTGGAACGATCGTGTGGCATCTCGGCGCGCTCTTGAACCATTTTGGAGGGCTCTTGGCGGCCTCGTGGCCCTTCTTGGGGCTCTCTGGAGGGCCACGGGGGCGGCGCCCAGGAGGAAAACCATCTCTGACCCGACCCTGCCGGGGATCGCCCGGGGTACTTTTTGTCCGAGGACCCCCAGGGGCCGCCCCGCGCGCGCGAAGTAGAAGTATTATTTGGCAGTTACCGGAGATCTTAGCACGCCTCTGGCCCGTTGGGCCGGCGAATTGTTGTTTTTTGGGCAATCTGTAATTCTTCGTCCAAAATCCGCCTGTAGGGGGACATGCCCGACCCGACCTTACTCCGAGTTTCTAATATGCGTCGGGGGGGCGCCACCCCCGCCGACAGCCCCACATCGACCCCCGTCGTTGGCAGCCACCGCGCGCCGAAGGCGCTCCGACACCCGTCGCGGCGCGACCACGAGGCGAGGCTGACCCCCGTTGGGGGAGGACGAGGAGGAGCAGGAGGAGGAGGAGGAGGAGGAGGAAGAGGAGGACCGAGCCCCCGCGTTCACGGGGCTCCCTGCCTCCCTGCCCCGCACCCCCTCCTCGTGGTTCGTCCTCGCCGTCCGGCCTCGCGCTCTCATGGGCGGGCGCTGCACGTGGCGAGCCGAGGGTGCGCAGGCTCACTTGGTTGCGCCGCCTAGGTTCGGCGGCGAGCGAGGGCGAGAGGGAGAAGGCCTTCTCGGAAGGCGGCGGGACTTCTCAGAAGCTGTCTGTGTCTTCGGGGGAGGCCGAGAAAACTCTTCAGAAGTGAGGGGGGCTTCCGAGCCTTCTGAGAAGGCCTTCTCCTTCTCACTGGCCCCCTGGACTCGCCGCCGATTGAGGAAGAGCGAACTTTCGGAGGTCCGCGTGGACTGCCTGGGTCGGCGCTGGGCACCGCTTTCCGCGGCGCCTCCCGTGCCGCTCCCAGCGCGCGGAGCCCGCCCGGGAACAGGCAGGGGGAGGGACCTCCTGCGCTCGGCGGGACAGGAAGTCTGCGCGGCCTTCCGGAAGTACGGTGGGGGCCAATGGTTGAGGAATGCGCCCCTGGAGGCCTCAGATTAGAGGCGACGATAGGGGCGAAAAGCCCACGATAGGGGCGAAAAGCCCAGGGGAGAGCAATACATGTATTCAGGTGTGCCGATGATCTATGTGTTCGGAAAGGCTCCCGGGCGAATCCGTGTAATACCCGCCCCTGGGCTTTTCGCCCCAATCGTCGCCGCCGGCAGGAGACCTCAGACACTGGGAGCTTCCTTCTCTGATGAGGGTGGCGGTGATACAGTCGGACCGAAGTATAAGATCGAGGTCCGTTCGGGGAGGGTACCTCAACTTTCTTCGTGATTGTTGGATGTTCTTGTGCATCCTGGGGAGGGTGCCCTCGGATGTTCTGTGTGTTTTGTCCGGCGGAGGGTCCCATGTTCTTGGAGGACGTGTTTCTGTCCCAGATCCGATTGCATCCATGGCCAGGTCTCGATTCGTGCTCCACCGGCTTCCAGACCCTGAGTTCCTTATTAAAGCCAGCGGCGAGCGAGGGGGGGGAGTGAGAAGGAGAGGGCCTTCTCAGAAGGCTCCGGAGTCCCCAGGCCTTCCGGGAAGTGGTCTAAGCCCTCCCCGAAGACGCGGGCAACTTCTCGGAAAGCCTGGGGGGGGGTTCTGAGAAGTCCCGCCGCTTTCCGAGAAGGCCTTCTCCTTCTCATTTCCCCTCCTCGCTCGCCGCCAACTACAGTCAACCCGCATAGCAAGGATGGGCAACCTTCCCAATGGTATCCTTGCATCCTTGCCTCCTCGGCCCATCCTTGGTCACTCTCGTTGGCCGCGCCCCGCTCGAAAGGCTTCGACGTGGCCCTCCGAGGCCCCTGCATCCTCATCGCGAATCCTTACTATACTGGGTGACTGCGAGTGTTCCTCGCCCAAGGCGCCCCACCGTATATTCGGGGGAGCGTAAGATCCGGGTTTGCCAGGACTCGGGTTCGCCATCGTGTTTTGACGACCGCGCCTCGGATTTTGACGAGGAGGAGTTTCGTGGGATGTCTGCAGCGGGAGGCCTCGTCAAAATGCAGGCTCGGCCTCGTCATTTTTTTGACGACCTCGTCGGGGATTTCCGAGTCCCCCGTACCCGGGTCTTACGTCTCCCCGATACTATACTGGGTGGCTGCGAGTGTTCCTTGCCCACGGCGCCCCACCGTATGCCCACGGCGCCCCACCGTATGTGGCCTTTCGTGTTTGTGGCCTGCTTCTGCTCGGCCCGCAGCTCCGCTTGCCCACAAGACGGGGTGCCCTTATCGCGAATCCTTACTATACTGGGTGACTGCGAGTGTTCCTTGCCCAAGGCGCCCCACCGTATGTGGCCTCTCGTGTTTGTGGCCTGCGTCTGCTCGGCCCGCAGCTCCGCTTTGCCCACAAGACGGGGTGCCGCGGCGCCCTCGGGCTCTTGGCGTCGCGAGGGAAGCCGCCATGGGAGCCTCGTCGACCTCATGAGATTCCCTTTCTCCGCCCTCCTCCCTTCCCTCCCCCCTCGTTCCTTATCTCCGTCCCTTCCCTCCCTTCCCTTTCTCCGCCCTCCTCCCCTCCCCGCCCTCCTCCCTTCCCTTTCTCCGCCCTCCTCCCTTCCCTCCCCCTCGTTCCTTATCGTATTATGTCGTGCACGCTGTTCGTGCCTTACTCTTCGAACGTTCCTCGATTCTTTGGGTTCCAGGATCTGTTCATGTCTGATTGTTCTATCCTGGGCCTCTTCCTGGCCACTAGGGGGCCAGGAACAATTAGAAACGAGCACAATTAGAAATGAGCACGATTAGAAATGAACGACGTGTATGGTTGATACAACCGCGTCGCGGGAAAAGGGATCGATTCCCCTCTTGGCGCCAGGCCCCTGCAGTAGCTGTGGTTGCCTGCGCAGGTGCTAGGGTGAAGTTGCTTCTTAGATGCGGCGCTCCATCTCATTCTACGCGCAAGGGTCCACCATGTGGCATGCCAGTGCCCAGTTCATTGTTGTGCTCGGAACCAACGCCCATACTCGGAGCATGTTACAACCATGCCACTTTCTGATTCACTTGGAGCACCAAGATCCCCAATGAAAAGGCAAATGAGCGCCATGCAACCGCGAAAGGAAGATCTGTTGCCAAACCTGGCTCTAGCATTATTGGTCACTCTTGAAGTTGCGGCAACATTGCCGACTCGTGTGGGCTTCAAGCATCGGGTTCGTCTTCCCGAGAGCACCGCAGCTGCGCCATGGCGGTATTGATTCTAACTTCGGTGTTGTTGTTATTGGTTTGGCGTGTGGAGGCAATAGATTGTGCCACTGATGGTTCTGATTATTCCTACACGGAATCAATATCTGGTGTCAGGCGCAAGGTAGTGACAAATCATTGTCCAAACCACCCCTTCTACGACTTGAACCCGAACACGGCAGTAAAGTCTTCGAAAACCTACACGATCCCGGCAATCCCTACATACGTAGGCGCAGCTACCGATTCTTCCACTTCTTCAGCGCACGTCGATCTATCCGCGCAGGGAGGCGCAGTCGGCGTCTTCTTCAACGCGGCGCAGCTGTACTCCCCCTACGGCGGCCCTACGTACGGCACCGTCACTGGCTGGGCGAACTCGGCTCCATTCGCGGAGGGCAACACATTCGACCCGTGCGGATGCCATGGGTCGAGCCCCACTATAGCAACGTACCATTGCCATGTGCCGCCCAGTTGTTTGTTGAATCAGTTGGGTCAGACTTCTTCGGCCCACTCTCCCCAGATCGGTTGGGCGTTCGATGGTTTTCCCGTCTACGGCCCCCGCGGTCCTTCTGGTACGATGATGCAGACGTGTACAGTCACGGGAGGGACATACGGCACAGACGTATGCACGGACGATTGCGGCGGATATTACAAAGTTGATAGCTCCATCGACGAGTTCGTGTACAGGTACTACACGCTTGGTCAGTACAACGATGGCACCAGTTGTGCCGCCCCTGGCTGCGCATCACCAACATCTGAGTTCCATCCCACCACGATGATGTGCTTCCGGGGCTGCTGCCCGACAGGCGTTATGTGCAGTGGTGGTGTCCGGAGGTGCCCGTCTTCGGGTACATTGGACGGGGTTACAGGCACGTACGCGGCCTCCGTGCCGACCGTTAACGGCATGTCTATGGCGTTGGGGCTCCCGACGAACGAGGCGGCTTGCAGGCACAGCAACATCGCGTGCGCTTCGTGCTCGGAATGTGAGTGGAGCAAGAACCAATGTGGTGTTGGCGGTTCGAGCACAGGCACGTGCACGGGTCTGGCGTCGACGCCTGCCCCGCCGCCGACGCCGGCGCCGACACTAGAGCCCACACAGGTGCCAACACCAGCGCCAACACCAGCGCCATCACCAACGCCGACTCCAGAGCCAACACCAGCTCAAACACCAACACCGACAACAGCGCCGACTGCAGCGCCAGCGACAACAGCGCCGACTGCAGCGCCAACAAACACGCCAACACCAGCGCCATCACCAGCCCAAACAGCAGCCCCATCGACGCCTGCGCCGACACTAGCGCCCACACAGGTGCCAACACCAGCGCCAACACCAGCGCCATCACCAACGCCGACTCCAGAGCCAACACCAGCTCAGACACCAACACCGACAACAGCGCCGACTGCAGCGCCAGCGACAACAGCGCCGACTGCAGCGCCAACAAACACGCCAACACCAGCGCCATCACCAGCCCAAACAGCAGCCCCATCGACGCCTGCGCCGACACTAGCGCCCACACAGGTGCCAACACCAGCGCCAACACCAGCGCCATCACCAACGCCGACTCCAGCGCCAACATCAGGTCAAGCACCAACACCGACAACAGCGCCGACTGCAGCACCAACACCGACAACAGCGCCGACTGCAGCGCCAGCGACAACAGCGCCGACTGCAGCGCCAACCAACACGCCAACACCAGCGCCATCACCAGCCCAAACACCAGCCCCATCGACGCCTGCGCCGACACTAGCGCCCACACAGGTTCCAACACCAGCGCCAACACCAGCGCCATCACCAACGCCGACTCCAGCGCCAACACCAGCTCAAGCACCATCGCCGACAACAGCGCCGACTGCAGCGCCAGCGACAACAGCGCCGACTGCAGCGCCAGCAAAATCGCCAACACCAGCGCCATCACCAGCCCAAACACCAGCCCCATTGACGCCTGCGCCGGCACTAGCGCCCACACAGTCGCCAACTTCAGCCCCCAAACCAGCCATATCATCAGGGTCCACGATTGCGGGAAGCATGAAGCTGAGCTTCGGCGACAACGCGGCAGCGGTGGCAGATCCCCAGGTGAAGATGGGCGTCGAGAAGGGTATCGCCGTCACCAGCGGACTCGGGGAGGAGAATGCGGGCATGGTCGAGGCCACCTTGTCGCTCGTGACGCTGAGGCGGCTTAGCGCTGCGATCCGCCGGCTCTCCGGCTTCTCCGTCCAGGTGGACTTCGAGATCACCATTCCTCCGGAGGCCTCGGCCTGGATCGTCGCTGACGACGTGGCGGCCTCGCTCGTCTCGGCGGACGAGGCGGACCTCAGCAGCGCGCTCTCGGAAGCCGTCGCGTCGGTCGCCGACGCGGGGTACTCCGTGGAGGTCGCCGAGCTGCCGAGCGTGGTCCCGATCGTGCCGGCACCAGCGCCAGGCGATGGAGTCGATGCGAATGCCAGTGCACTGGCCTGCCCGTGCTGGGCCCACGCGCTCGTCTGCTCGGTCTGTCTGTTGGCCTGCGTGCGGGCGTGATGTCGGAGGTGTGCGGCCCGCATGCCGAGGCGCCCCCTGGGGCGGACGGTTGATCCTCTGCCCACGCCCGCCCAACCTGGCAAGTGGGGCAGCCTGTGCCTCCAACTAGGGTTGAGTCGGGCCTGTCCCTCTACAGGGGGGAATATTCGAAAATGGCCAAGAAGTAGTCTGGAGACGATGCTTTGATTATTGTTTGAATATTGTTGAGTCTGTTCTGACTATCTTTAAACTGTTTCGCCCCAACTCCGCCTTTAGGGGGACATGCCCGACCTAAAACTAAGGGGCTTGCGTCGTGTCGCCCGCCGGACCCCAGAACTCTCGCCCCCCCCCCCCCCCCCCGAGGCCCCCGAGGAGGTTCCCGAGGGCCTCCTCATTAGGGTGCCCACGGCGTGGCCTCGCGTCCCCCGGTCGGGGCGCCGCCTTCGGCGAAGGGCTGCCCCCCAGAGGTGTGCTTTTGTCAGCGGGGGTGGTAGGCAGATTCCGCTACTTTCGACACGTCGGCTGCAGTGCCGTCGCGGCGGACGAGACGGCGTCTGTCCCAGCCGCCGCTCGGGCACGGAACGGGGTAGGGCAAAGGAGACGAGATGCAGGAGCCCAGACTTTCTTGGCTGGTTACCCGAATCATCCCGCGAGAGAGGCTTTTCGCCCGCTTGCGCCTCCAATGGCCGTCTCGCGGTCCGAAACCGGCTCGGGATGAAAGGATGGTCCCCTGAAAAGGGGTCTCGGTGGCAAATCGTGGGAGCCTGGTATACCCTCCTTTGCTTCCGTCTTTAGCGTCGGCTAGCGTCGATTAGCGTCTGGGAGTCGATGAGATAGCGCCGATATTAGCGTCGATCTAGCGTCGATCTAGCGTCGATCAGCGACGAAGTGTCGATTCGCGTCGATTCGCAAGACCAGACAAGATGATATGGTAGGCTCCCGTGAGCCGCCACCGAGCGCTTCCTGGTCCGACACCGACCTGGGATGAAAAGCGGGCCCCCTGCAGAGGGGCCGACCCATGTTGACCCTTAACACCCCCCGCCCTGATCCAATCAGGACCAGGATAAACCGTTTCAGAGCGTTCTGGAGGCAGTTCTGCATTTGGACACCGGCACGTTTTCTTGCATGGACGGGGGGGCGTGGCGAGGCTCGGAGAAAAACAGAACTGCACAAGCATGAACTTTTGGCGCTCTACGCTGATTTCTTGGATCCGCCCCTGGGCCCCCCCGGCGGCGCCTCCGGCGCCGCCCCTGGTGCGCCCCGCGCGCCAGGGAGGGGGGTCCAGCGTAAATTCAAGAAGTCGTCGCGGAGCGCCAAAAGTCGATTTTTACTTTTTGTTTTTACTCTTCTAAAGTCTGGGGGCCAGCGGATCGGAAAGGAAAGTCGTCTGAGGTTTCTGACTCGAGAATCAAGCAGACTTGCTGGCCTTACTTCCGCCGAGGGGACGGTTCAGCTCGCAGGTGGGAGCAGGCGGCCAAGGCATGGGCGGCGTGCTGACGGCACCCGCTTCCGCTTACATTTATGTCGGGCTTGTCCTTCTTCAGGAGAAACTTGAAATAATAGTAAAACACATTTCAATCATCGCCCAAAATCCGCCTGTAGGGAGACATGCCCGACCTAAGTTTATATGTTTCACCCACTGCTCACGCGCTGTGGCGGGCGCAAGGATCCTTGACTGGACCGGAGGTTTGGAAGGAGGAGCGCAGGAGCGCCACATCCGACGCACGCGCGGCGCGCTCGGCAGCGACCCCAGGCCTTGCTCGACCTGCTTGGCCGAAGAAGAAAAACGGCACAGGCCCGCCTGCTCAGTCCCGGTGCTCTTTTTCAAGGGTCCGCAGGTGGGCGCCAGGAGAATCAAGGATGGACCGGGGAGGAAACACTGGCCCCGATGAAGGGGTCGGAACCTCCGGGGCCCGCGGGCTGAAAAAACAGTCCTTCGGAAGCCTGGGCATGTGGGATTGCACTCGGCCAGTGGTGGCCTCCAGAGAGGTCTGGGTTGCAAGTGTTGCGGCTTAGCAGGTGCGCGCCCGTGTGTTTGCTGGTCGCCAGGGCCTCACGGGATGCGCATTGTCGCGAAATTATTTCTAGAAAACATATATATATATATATATGCACATATATGTATATATATATATATATATATATATACTGGGCGCGGTTGGGACCGCAGCCACGAGCTTGCGACGGCATCCCGCTCAATCTTCTAACGGCTTCTCGTCTTGTAGTCATATGTTTTTTCCAGAACTTGCGCCCGAAGCACCGCCGAGCTACAAATCTATAGTTGTCTGTCTATCTGAACTTTCAGTCCTGCAGTCTTCCTTTTGTTAGGCAGTGGCCAGTTCGAATTGATCCAGAAGGTGCCCCTGAGTGCAGTGGAAGGGTTTGCAGCGAGATTTGCCAAGTGGCCACATGGCCGCTCTCCCTCTCGTCCCGTTGCCGGACATGACGCCTGCCACCCTGATGCAAGGCGAGACCATGCCGAGGAGGGTCCCCCTCCCGGCTGCCCTCAGGCAGCTGTCCCCCGCAGCGCCCATTCACCGCCCACCGCGGCCGCCATGAATCCCGCATCCAGTGCTAGAGTGTGGGCTCCGAGCATCGGTCGTCATCATCCATTGCATGTGATTGTTGGCCACCTGGGGACGATCGGGTTGACCCAAAAGGGGGTTCAGCGACAAAGGAGGGTGCAATATATTTGTTGCAATCTATTTGTGGAGTTGCAATACATTGGGGGCGTACAATACATTCCTGGGCGCAAATGTGTTGCCGGATTTTCGCGTGCAATACATGACTTGCAATACCATGGAATACAATTCTTTTGCGCAATACATTTGCAATACAATGGCCCCAAATATATTGCACCACCCCCTTTCAGCTGGACCCCCTTTTGGGTTACTCAAAGACGAGGCCCGCCAATCTACATGTGCATGTAGAACGCAGACAGCGTAACCAAGGGGCGTATCCGACGCAAGAGCAGCAAGCATCTACTGTAGCAGGGGCCTTCTCAGGAGACACTGTAGGTGTTGCTGGGGACACTGTGCAATCTACATAGATGACAGTTGATTATAAACGTCTATGCAATCAGCATTCGTGTCTCACCCAATGCGGTGCAAGAGGCATGGCGCGCTACATGGTACGCAAGCCATGTGGACAGGAGGGAGGAGGGAGTCGTTAGTCAAGCTCAGCCTGAACACCCTGAGCTTGGAATCGAAGACGGCTGGTCCCATTCGCATTCAAAGACGCTCCACGTGATGCTGAGCTTTGGGAAATGCACGTCTGCACATGGCTGCACAATCGGCGCGCGTCGACCTGGCCGCCGAGCAGTGCGGCCTTCCCCCACGGTCATCGCCTAGAGCAAGCCTGCCCGGTGAGCAAGGCAGGTGCCCCGGAGGCGGGAGAAGCGAGAGGAGAGCGGCGCGGGACACGGGAAGAGGGCGGAGGGAGAATGGAGGGAAACGGGAGAGGAACGTGGAGGTTGGGAGAGAGAGAGAGAGAGAGAGAGAGAGAGAAAGAGAGGGAGAGAGAGAGAGAGACATATATATATATATATATATAACAAGAGAGGGACAGAGAGAGAGAGACAGGAGGGAGGACGATGAGAGCAGGCAGGAGCGAGGAGGAGGGGATCAAGCTTGCGTCGAAGGTGGCGTCGAAGATGACCCCGTTGCGGCGCACAGCCCGACCCCTATAGGCCATGACTGCCAGGGTTCGGCATGGGGGATGGGCAAACCCGCGCGGGCGGAGGAGGAAAAGGAGGAATATGGAACGTCGTGGGTATCGAAAGCATAACGTGTAGACGTAGCCGCAGCCCGTTCACGTTGTCGGCGTCACCTGCGCCGGACCTCCCATGAGCTCACGGAAATAGCGACAGTTGCGCATTTGACAGCCGCATGGGAGTACGAGGTCCCGTTTAGGTCCTCGAAGGACAACGCCGCGCTGGACCTCCCAGGATTTGACGAACGTAGCGACAGTTGCACAGTTGGTAGCACCCCAGGCGAGGTCTATATTGAACACCTTTAGCTCCGCACTCCGCTGGGCCTCCCAGGAGCTCACTCAAGTGGCGGCAGTTGCGTAGTTGGCAACACCGGCAGGAAAGCCAGGTATAGTGTTCATCCTTCTAGCTCCGCATTCCGCTGGATTCCCCCCGAGCCTTGAGAAAACTTTTCACTCTATAACACCTCCGTCGGGGCGATCCTGGAAAATTGCTTTTGAATTGGTTTTGGATTGCATGCGAAAATACAAAGAAATGCTCAGCAGCCCACCAAGAAAAACACGTCGCGCGAGCGGCGCAAAGCGGTGCGTCCCGATCGCGATAACGCATTGGAGAAGCCATGCAAGCAATGATGAGATAAGGCGGTGTGGCATTACAAGGGGGAGAGCAAACATGGGGCAACAACGTACACCACGCCAAGGCTAGGGCTGCACGGCGCTACCCCACGCATACATCTCCACCTCATCTTGCCCCGTCGCCTTCTCGATTCGTTGCAATGGCACGGCTATGCATTACCCCGCTCGCGGCGCACCGCCTTGCTCGATTCGCACGCTAGTGTTTCACTGGCGAAGGCCAATGACATTTTTTGCCGCATTCAGACGCATCCCGAACCAAATCCTAAGCAACGCCCCGCGGATCACATGGTCGAACTGTGTTTTCAAGAAACTGGTTGCCATAGTGTTCGCGGGTCGTCGAACGCGTCGCGCGTTTCGGGGCCCTGCGAGGGTGGCGCCGACCAAAGGCCTCGATGGCAGGGTCCGCACTGGCGAACGCCATGAATTTGTGATGGCCCTACACTGGCCTGGCCGCCTCAACAAAAGCCCACCCCCGAAGCCTCTAGTAGCGGGGATTGCGCATCTCCGCAGCCATTCCAGCACGCGCATCATGCGTTTCGTGGCCCAACGGAGAGCTCCACCGTTGCCCGCAGTGGACGGGGTTCGCGCGCGCGCCCTCCGCTCGCGTCGGCGCCCTTCTCACGCGTTTCGTGGCCCGACGGAGGGGTCCACCCAAGGCCCCACTGGCAGGAATAGCACGCGTCATAACCGATCGCGTCGGCGCGCCGACCAAGCCCACACTGGCCCAACGGTGAGCTCCACCGAACGCCCATCCAGAAGGCCCGCATGACTTCCGAAGCAGGTCCCAATGGGGGGTTGGGAAAAAGAACGCCGACGTGATATGATAACGTTTCCCATCGAAATAACACCGAGTGGCCTTTAGGCACCCGACGCGCACCCAACGAGGCCCAGAGTTAGTTCGAGAGATCCCCCATGCGGCGCCCAAGATGCCCCAGGAAGCAACCGAACTCCCAAGCGCGCAGCCAAGAACATCCGAAGATGCCCCCAACAGATCACCCCGATATCTCCGCACACGTCCGATGTCCGTAACCCACAGTCCACGCACGGCGGCGATTTCGGCCGAAGGCCATTAGATAATTTGCTAGGGCGTCGCGGGTTCTCGGTCATCCTGGGGGTCGGCTGGATGGCGTAAGCCAATGGAATAAACTGGCAAGCAGGAGAAGGATGAGCAACTGAACTCGAGCACAATGCAGGGAGCTGACGATGATAAGGGGGCGCACGAGGAGGAGGGGCAGGTACCTGACGAGGACAAGGAGGAGCAGAAAGGGAGGGATGAGCGTGGGAGGAGGGCGGAGGGATTTCGAGGGCTCGGACACAAACGCCACCCCCCCCCGAGCCACCCGAACCAACCCTTAACGCGCACCCTGGCACCAACACCTTAGCCCCAAATCCCAAACCCACGCACCCCCCAACGAAGCGGCGCGCCAAACCCCACCGCCACAACCCCAGCCGTAACCAGACCGCCCCACGCCAACACACGATCACTGAACAACCCTACCAAGTCCTGCCACTTGCCCCTTACCCAACCCCCCCATTCCGTAGCCCCCCACGCGCAAAACTAACAACCCGACTCCAACGCAGCCAACCCCGACGGAAAAAAGCAACGCGGCTGGAGGAGGAGGAGAAAGAAGAGGAGGGGGAGGAGCAGGAGGACGAGGGCGAAGAGCCCTGAAATCCACCTCGCTCTCCATCAATATTTGTCAAGGCCACTCCGCGCGCTCCAGGCGCAGCAGCCAGCATCCAACAACCACTCGGCAGCGGTGTCGGCCCAGCGGTTGCCACAGGCCCATGATTGTTACGTCATCGCTCCTTTCCTCTCCCTCTTCCCCCTCCTCCCCCTTCTCCCCCTCGTCCCCTCCTCCCTCCTCCTCCCATTCCTCCCCCTCCTCCCACTCCTCCCCCTTCTCCTTCTCCTCCCCCTTCTCCTCCTCCCGTCCTCTTCCTACGTATCGTTCCATGGGCCTGCGGCTCCCGAGGGGAGACCCCGCTGCGCGAATATCTCCTAGCCCTGCAAGGGCATCAAGTTGATGGCGTCCTCCACGTGCTTCTTGACCCATGGGTGCGCGTCCTGGTAGCTGTTGGGCTTGCTGCTGTTGCCTGAGTTACGCTCCGAGCGACATTTCTGCTGCAGCTTGTTCTTGTCCTTCACCAATGCCATGACGCCGATGATCGTCGCTTCCTTACTGGTCGTGAACGCCTT